GATGGCTTTCATTCTATCCCCTCATCTGAAAAAAATCACAAATAATGGAAATAGCTCATAAAGCTGTAATTTATTTATTCAATAATTCAATAAAGAAAATATGTTTAGACCATTTTTATATGTAAATTCTATGCTAGGTTCTATGAAGGAATGTGGTTTTACAGTAATTGGCTTATAAAGACTGACATACAATGTCATTGCCAAAGAACTTTAGGAATCATCTGGTCCAATTTTTTTTACTGAGTTGGAAATAAAACCTGTTAGAATTCACCAGAATAGAAGTGGTGTACTTTTAATTCTTTCTTGCCTAGCTTGAATATGCCATTCCATTAACTGTTTTATCTGATTGCTTACTAATATGAGTATTTCTCATCATATCATCTATACCTATCTCAATTTTGCAAGGTTGATAACTCATTTACTATTCAAATTGCTTCACAGTATAACATTTCTGCTTTGCTATCACTGAATTTTCTGAGTATTTGCATATTCACAGGCTTACTTCAGATTGAAGGGCAATGCAGTGCGGGGGTTACGTGCATAGGCATTGATATTAGGGTTTCTGGATTGCAATCCCTGTTCCGTATTTATCTAGCCCTGTGGTCTTGGACTGGTTACTCAATTACTGTAAATGTAAGTTTCCTGATCTGTAAAATGAGGATAAAAATATAGAACAATTGTGAAGCTTGAGATAACATATGCAACCTGACTAGCAAATTGTAAATTAATAAACTGCATACAGAAATAGTAAGACAATTAATAGCAGTAATGGTGGCAGCAAAAATAATTTAGGTAGGAAAAGGTTTTAATGCCCAGTAGAATAATGCCTAATACAACCTCAAGTGTACATATCTTTGATAATAATGGTGACCTGTCAAAATCATTTAATGATATACTGTATAACTACATGGAGAATCTTCAGGTAATTGTTCACATTTTCTGTATTATAATGACATAAAAGCACATGGGAGGCAGAAAAGAACCATCCAATTCCATGTGTTTTGTGTAAGTTATAAGAGCGTGATGATCTCCATTAATTTGCAAGAACTTTTATTTCTAAGGGTTAGGGATATATTGCAGATTTTTAAAAAGAAAAGCAATTAGGAGACATTTATTCAAGATCATTTACTAGGGTCCACTATGTTAAAGTTACATCTACATCTTTTTCGATCTCAGACCGTAGCCTATCTTACCAGTTTTAAATGGGGTTTAAGAACTGCTTCAAGTCAAAGTGCTTTGGTTTCAATTCTGGCTTTGCCAATTGCTAGCTGCATGATTTAGGACAAATTACTCGATAGCTCTGTGTTTCATTTTTCACGTTTGTAAATGGGGATGATACTGGAACCTACTTCATACAAACGAAATGAAAAGTACGAGACAGAAATTGAGACATGCTTAGAATAGCACCTGCACAGAGTAAGCATTTATAAAAGTGTTACCTAAGACTGTTCAATAAAGTTAGTTCTCTAAGGAAAAAGGTGAAGACATTTATAGGGAATGAAAAGGTATTTGATCTAAAACCAATTAAGTTTTCGTTTTCATTTTTGGAAGTGGTTATCATCATATTCTATACACTTCACACCTAGAGAGACAAAAATCCTTGAAAGTGAATTGAGGTATTAAGTGAGTCTGATTTAGAATGGATTTTTTTTTCCCCAGAACAAAAAGAAAATAATTCTAAAGGATTACTCAATAACATAAAGTAAAACCAAGATAATCTACCAAAAGATGTCAATCAGAAAATCAGGAAATCAGAGATATTCTAAAGTTAGGAGGCTGTAAGTCTGAAGCAGAGTTTTTAGTCTCAATACCCATTCACGCATTATCCCCAGTCACAGAACATTTATTTGGTATATGGCTATCAAAAAAAAAAAAATGACATTCTTAGCTTCTCTACACCTAAGTGTGACCACCTGACTAGGTTGTGGCAGTGGGATAAGAATCATATGGCAGTTACCAGGGACAACATGAAAAGAAAACTGGCCCTGGGTCTTCCTTCCGTATTCTTCATCTCTCCTCTGCCCTTTGGCTGGAATAAGATACTGGTTGGATCATGGGCAGAAGGGCAGATTCAGGGCTAGTGTGTGTGGTTGTGTTCATGGTGCAGTGCACAGCTGTAAATGACCCACGGCAACACACTGGGGAGAAAGGTACTAAATGCTGGGTACAGCCAAGGCCCTACCAATTGGGAAAGTACAGTAGCAGCTTGGATAACTGGTCCCTAGATTTGTTTTGTGAGAGAATAAAACTTTATGTGATTAAGCTCACATGGGTTAGTGTTGTGTGAAGACAACCTTAATTCTAACCCATACAGATAGGAATGTCCAGTTGTACATGTACACGATCATCCAGACCCAAGAGGAAACTTGGCTAACCAAAGTACAGATAGCAGCTAAAATTAGGAGGATAGGTTATAGGTGTATTTTTAAGTGGGGTCAGGAGAGTGGAATTCAATATAAAGGGCATTATCCGTAAAGGGGATAAACAAAACACATGGATTTATTTTCCTTATACTTTCCTAAATTTTCCAAAAATTGTTAATGACCTTGCACTACGTTTATAACAGGAAGAAAATCAATGTAAATGCACAAATTAAAATGATGCAATAACCAAGAGCATAATTCATCAAACATTTCATTTTTGAGAATCCATATATTTCCCTGTGAAAATACTATTTACTTCTCAGTTACCCTTTGCTTAACCTTTCCTTCCTTCATTCATACTGCACCTGGAATGTTTTTGTCTGCCTAATCCCCACCTCTCATGTCAAATTGCAGGAACCTGGCCTAGCCCTGAAGGTGAGTTTAAATTTTAGCTTCTCAATGATATCTTACATTTTGTGGAATAATAGCTTTTTGTCTTTAAGTCTCAGTATAAATCCTGCAGTATGTAATGCAACACTTTTTACATTTTACTATTGCTCTGAGTAAACCTCTAAAAATATCATAAAGTTCTCTAGCATATATATTCTTCCTTGTCTTCATACTTTTCTATTCATTAATTCATTCACATGTTCACTTATTGGACAACTGATTGTCAAATATCTGTCTATGATATGCCAGTTATTATAGAAAACACAGGGAGATATGAAGAAAAATAAAACATGTTCTGTTTATTCAAAGAGTGAGCCGTGCATGGTGGTTGGGCATGGTGGCTCATGCCTGTAATCTCAGCACTTTGGGAGGCTGAGGTGGACAGATCACCTGAGGTTGAGAGTTCAAGACCAGCCTGACCAACATGGAGAAACCCAATCTCTACTAAAAATACAAAATTAGCCGGGCATGGTGGCGCATGCCTGTAATCTCAGCTACTCGGTAGGGTGAGGCAAGAGAATCATTTAAAACTGGGGGGCGGAGGTTGCAGTGAGCCGAGATTACGCCATTGCACTATAGCCTGAGCAACAAGATCAAAACTCCATCTTAAAAAAAAAAAAAAAAAAAAATGAGCTAACCATGAGTAAGAGCAGACAGAGAGGCAACGGTCAAATTTAATGCCATAATTTCTATGGGAGAGAAATGTATATAATGACAAGGTGATAGAATGTTTAACTCTATTTGAAGAAAGTCGGGAAGGGGATCATAGAAGTATTGACTCTTGAATTATTTTTTTACAAAGACTAATAGGCATTTTTTCCAGGCAGATGAGGTAAATGGATGAAATCTGAAAGAGCGGGGATGATGAACAACATGAGGCCAATAAGAATGAAAATATACTGCAGGAAGGAAAAGTTCATTTCATGTGCTAAAGGCACAGCATGTAAAGAGAGACCTGAGAGGGGCTAGGCACTTTGAATACCACATTTTATCCAGTGCTTGGAACATAGGAACACAGTGTTGACTTAAATGTTTGCAGTCACAGTGCTATGTACTACACAGCACGCACTGTGTACACTGGTTGACTGATCATGCCATGTGAGATATTCAGGGGACAGTAAGCTTGACTAAGTCACAGAATTGCAATGCACTGCCTCAATTTTCTCATTTCCTCAGACAAAGATGCTGAGCCAATGTTTAAAGTGATTATAATGTGACCTTCAGAGGAGAAATAAACTTACTTAGCCTGTAGTAGAAAGCTTGGCTGAATTCAAGAAGTGTGATTGCCCAAATGATATACTGTCATCCTAGTTAAGGAACTTCTGAGAAAACATAGCCTAGATGCCAAAAATTGGTTTCCTCAGGGGGGAAAAAAAAAAATATATATATATATATATATTATATATATACTTATATATAATATATATATATGAAATATAGAAAAGAATGACCCTTAGACTAAACTATAAAGAATGACCATTAGACTAATATATATATATAAAAATATATATATATATAAATATATATTTATATATTTATATATATATATATATTTATTTATTTTAGTCTAATGGTCAATTTGAAATAAATGAACAGAGTATTAAATGATGATGAGAGAAAAGGTTACAGGATAACCTGAGAACGATACAATGTAATACCATAAATATAAAAGTATTACTGGTTTTTCAAGGGTATATCTTGATAAATTAAATTATTAGGTTTAAAAAAGGAGGAAATTACATACTAGATAGAAACTACAAGTCCTTTTCTACTTTCAAAATTTTTCCACGTTCTAAAGTCAGGCATTTTTTTAAGTGCCAAGTATCTGTAATAGAATTTTCCTATTTTTATTCTTTTTTTTTTAATAGGAAGAGATTTCCAGCTACTCAGGAGGCTGAGGCAGGAGAATCGCTTGAACCTGGGAGGTGGAAGTTGCAGTGAGCTGAGATCGCACCATTGCATTCCAGCCTGGGTGACAGGGCAAGGCTCCATCTCAAAGAAAAGAAAAGAGAAAAAAAAAAAAAAGAAAAGGGAAGAGATACTATCGTGTTTTCTGAATATTTGCTTTGAATCTTTCTTCTGATCCGTTGCATCCCAGGCAAACCCTCTGGAGCAAAAGGGCAAGGAGCAGAATTGATATCAACAAGCAGATAAGAGTTCAACAAAGACAGTAAGTTGGTTTCATACCTTCAATAGGTTTCGGTACAAAATGTGATGAGGGCTTGGTTTTCTTCACTCTGTTTCCCTTCATAATTTGACCTTCTTTATTGAGTCCCAGAAACCATGCTCGGCCTGATTCTTGCTGGCGGTATAGTGTGGAAGAATAGATCACATAGTAGTTTTCAAACACAGATTCCTTAAATTTGCATTCTGGAGTGAAAACATCCTGTAAAAAAAAAAAAAAAAAAAAAAGGACACAAAAAAGAGAAATGATTTAAAGGTGAATCACTGAATGCTTAAATCCAGTAAGTTTGAAATTCATGACCTCTGTTAAGAACAAATGAAAGGCAACTACACATAATTTCTATTAGCCTTTGGTTGTGAAGATTCATCATACAAAATCAAAAAACAGGATTTCCTTTCTAGCCAACCTTTACCCCAGAGGACACAACTTGCTCAGGCTTGAAACTAAGTTAAAAGCATTTAGACCGTGACCAAGTCTGTGTTTTGACCCTAGCAATATGCTTTGTAAACTAAAGTGATTGGCCATTCCTCATTTACTCACCCATAACCTGTTAGTAAGAAACAGAAATTTATTGTAGAAATCAAAATCAAATATAACCACAGCAAATATAGGCACACAAGCTGCTTCCGAAGAGACTATTCTGTATACACAAAAATGTATTATTACACAGCCACAGCTTGTTCAGTGAAATCACCACTTTTCTAATGTTAGTAACTTCTTTAATTTTCTTAAAACATTTGTTTCCTTAGTAATCAAAATCTCAGGTAAAAAGCCCAGGAATGAGTAATAGAAAAAAAATTACTATTACACTGAAGAAAGTTACTAATAGTAATTACTATTGCTATTGACCTCAGTGAAACACAGGATGAGAATTTTAGTCTCAGAAGAAACCAGAAGATCCTGTACTTCAACTCCAATATTCGTTAAGTGAGAAAACCAAAAGATTATATGATTAATTCAAATATACATTTAAAAAATTACTGAGTCAATGCCAGAGCTCACATTTATTGCTTCATAATCACTGCCTCTTAGGCTCAGCTTTTCTGCCTGAGTCTTGTTTAGTGACTTGTAATGATATTTAAAAATCAATACAATAAAATCATATCCTAACATGTCAAATGAACAAAATGTATTTTGTGCAAGGAAGAATTTTCTCCCCTTCTGAGACAAGCAGAAGAAAAACAAATTATGTAGCATCTTCTTCAGGTACAAAGAAATAGGAGTCCTATATGTCACACATATTCATCATAGTTACCATCTTCTTCTCCATGTACTGGAAAATTTTCTTTTTTTTTTTTTTTTTTTTCTTGAGACGGAGTTTCGCTCTTGTTACCCAGGCTGGAGTGCAATGGCGCGATCTCGGCTCACCACAACCTCCGCCTCCTGGGTTCAGGCAATTCTCCTGCCTCAACCTCCTCAGTAGCTGGGATTACAGGCACGTGCCACCATGCCCAGCTAATTTTTTGTAGTTTAGTAGAGACGGGGTTTCACCGTGTTGACCAGGATGGTCTCGATCTCTTGACCTCGTGATCCACCCGCCTCGGCCTCCCAAAGTGCTGGGATTACAGGCGTGAGCCACCGCGCCCGGCCTGGAAAATTTTCAATCTGAGGCCCTCATGATTTAATGCAAGCAAACCTGGAATTAAGTTATTAATGAATATAGGAATAGAGTTGGTTGAAATCATGTCCTTGTAGGTGATACTCCCATGTTAATCTCCTGACCTTATTTGTAGAGAGTGCTCTCTCTCTCTCCCTTTTTTTTTTTCTTTCTTTCAGAGATGGGGTCTTGGCTGGGCACAGTGGCTCATGCCTGTAATCCCACGAGTTCACGAGTTTGAGACCAGCCTTGCCAATATGGTGAAACCCTGACTCTACTAAAAATAAAAATAAAAAATAAGAAAGAGAGAGATGGGATCTTGCTATGTTGCCTAGGCTGACCTCAAACTCCTGGGCCAAGAGGATCCTCCCAATCAACCTCCCAAGTAGCTGGAACTACAGGTGTGTACCACTCCACCCAGCTTGATTTTGAATAGTTCTAACATTATAGACAAAAGAAAATGAGACTAAGAAAATTGGAGTAGACTGGGGGGCGGTAGCTTATGTCTGTAATGCCAGCACTTTGGGAGGTTGAGGTAGGCAGATCATTTCAGGTGAGGAGTTCGAGACCAGCCTGGCCAACATGGTGAAAACCTGTCTCTACTCAAAATGTAAAAATTAGCCGGGTGTGGTGGCATGCGCCTGTATTCTTAGCTCCTCAGAAGGCTGAGGTGGGACGATGGCTTGAACCAGGGAGGTGGATGTTGTAGTGAGCAGAAATCCTACCCCACACTCCAGCCTGGGCAACAGAGTAAGATCTCAAAAAAAAAAAAAAAAAAAAAAAAAAAAAGTTCAAAACAATGCTCCCCAAAGAAAATTGGAGTAGAAACATGGTTGTAGGCAGTAAAATAACAATAGTAGCAATAAATGAATATTATGTTTATATCAATCCTGAAATATGATTTCTTAGAGTACTCTCAGTTTTAAGTAAATGAACTACTAGCTTAGGAATCAAAGAAACAAATGACCATGACCTATTAGTTTGCATTCACTATAATGGCTGTATTTTTTAAATGGACATTATAAAGTGTTTGTGAGGACGTGAAAAAACTACAACTCATACATTGCTTGTGGAAATGTACAATGATGCAGAAGCTGAGGAAAATAGGTTGGCAGTTCCTCAAAAGGTTAAACATTAGGTTGCCACACAATCCACTTTTATATATAGTTCTAAGATTAATGAAAACATGTGTGCACACAAAACTTGTGCACAAATGTTCACAGTAACATTTTTCATAATGTAAAAACAGCCCAAACATCTAACAAGTGATGAATGGATAAATACAGTGTGATATTTCTAGAGAATGTAATTGTAATATTTAATTATAAAAAAAGAACGAAATGCAGATTTACGTGGCAACATGGATGAACCTCAAACACATTATGTTAAGTGCAAGGAGCCAGACACAAAAGGCCACATGTTGTATGATTCTGTTTATATGAAATATCCAGAATAAGCAAATCCAGAGATAGTAAGTAGAGTGCTGGTTATCAAGGATTGGGGAAGGAGGTGGGATGGGTAAGGGTGGAGTGACTGCTTTGTTGGAGAGAAGAAATGTTCTGGGATTAGATACTGGTGATATCTGCACAACTTTCCCAATATACCAAAAATCACTAAAGCACGAATACACTTTAAAAACGTAAATTACTCAGCTGGGCGTTGTGGCTCACGCCTGTAATCCCAGCACTTTGGGAGGCAGAGGCGGGCGGATCATGAGATCAGGAGATCAACACCATCCTGGCCAACATGGTGAAACCCCGTCTCTACTAAAATACAAAAAATTAGCCGGGAATGGTGGCACACGCCTGTAGTCCCAGCTACTCAGGAGGCTGAGGGAGGAGAATTGCTTGAACCTGAGAGGTAAAGGTCGCAGTGAACCCAAATTGCGTGGCTGCACTCCAGCCTGTGTAACAAGAGCAAAACTCAGTGAAAAGAAAAAAAAAAAAAAAAGTAAATTACATGGTATTCAAATGATATCTCAAAAAAAAAAAAAATCCGATAAACAAGGTGACTAAAGAAAGTGAGCGAAAGAATGAAACTATTGTACATCCTTGCCTGGCAGCACAGGGCTACATGATAACCCATGTGAAGGGAAAACAGCTCTTCTAAGGCCTTGTCTCAATATTGTCAGGACAGAGTTTAATCATTGCCAAGTATATGCATAAAAGTAATTCAGATCCAATTTAGATGATAATGTTAAGTTCTGGTTTCCTTCTAGACTAAGTTAAAGTATTTTTAAAATGCTTAAATTTAGGTATGGATTTTAATTCATTTTCTTTAAAAAAAACAAACTAATTAAAATAATCCCAAAGCTTTTTTTTTTTCCTAGATCTAGTCCAATATTAACAAACATAGTATTAACCCTAAGAAACTCTGCAAAGTTCAAGCAATATATTCTATGTATAAGATTTCAGACTTTATAAAGGAGTTAGGGAAAAAATAATTCCTGTTATATCATCATATATGTAGATGGTAATAAAATATTCTTCATTATGAATGTACATCACAGAAACATGTAAATTTGAAGACAGATAGAAGGCTGCTTAGTGATAGTACAATTTGGCACTTTTATTTAACAAGGTAACTAAATAGTGAAATAATTGTCCCCATTTTCATAGAAAGTTAGAGGCCTATCCAGACCCTATGCTAGAAGAATGAGCTCCTCATTGGTGGTTCTGCACTTCTTCCAATGCCACACATTGCTTTCCTATTGCATAGGCAATCCTGCTTTTGATGCCAAGCTTGATTTGAGCAAGCCTTAGCCATTATGATAGAAACCATGCCCAACAATGATAGCCTGGATAAAGAAAATGTGGCACATATACACCATGGAATACTATGCAACCATAAAAATGGATGAGTTCATGTGCTTTGCAGGGACATGGATGAAGCTGGAAACCATCATTCTCAGCAAACCGACACAAGAACAGGAACCCAAATACCACATGTTCTCACTCATAACTGGGTGTTGAACAATGAGAACACATGGACACAGGGAGGGCAACATAATACACCAGGGCCTGTTGGGGGTTGGGGGGCTAGGCGAGGGATAGCAGGGGGCTGGGGGGCTAGGGGAGGGATAACATTAGGAGAAATACCTAATATAGATGGGTGATGGATGCAGCAAACCACCATGGCACATGTATACTTATGTAAGAAACCTGCATGTTCTGCACATGTACCCTAGAGCTTAAAATATAATAAAAAAACAAAGAAACCATATCAGTGATACATAATTACTACAATGTCATTTATACATCAAAAAAATAACGCTTTCATTTAATAAATGACTCTGGGGTTTCTGTTTCATACTTGTTTAAAATTCCCTCCTGGAACAGTAAAGTCAGAAAGATTGCACAAGAGCTAGATTCCTGGGGTCCTGAGCCAGGAACAGAATTAGGCAGGAACTGGGCCTTGAACTACTCAATTGACAAATGGGGTATTTCTTATACAGCATCCAGGTCCTAATCAGCAATGAAAAGCCAAGTGGAGTTTTCCATTCAATATAATTCCAGCAGGGCTACGCAGAGTCAGACTTTGAAAATGAGGCAGCTATTAATACATGACAAGGGCAAGACATTTCCGGGTGGAAACATGGCAGGAG